CTGATCTGCCTCGCCTCTTCTGACAACTTGTTAGTTTTCGCCTGCAGATCTTCAAGTTTGTGTGGCATTAGACACAAGTCATCACTGGCGAAACCTAAATCTTCTAGGATCTTTTTCCGCAGTCCAGTATATCCCTCTCTTCTCGCTCCTCACTGTTTGTTACATGATCCAGTCGACCACAATCAGGAAGATGATTAGTGATAGTAGGCGGCATCCTTGTCTAACTCAAAGGTAATATATACACTTATAAGGGTTAAATTATGTAGCATCAAAGAGGCGGGTTGTTTCAGCCTTCTTGCCAGTTTTTTTTTCAAATCACCATAAATTTGGTAACTGTATGTTCATATGTTTTTATGATACTCAATGGAATAATCGACTTTCCATCGAAATATATACATGTATGAGAAAGTATGTTATCTTTTTAGATTCTGTTAGTTCAGCAGATGATATAATAATGATCCAAAAACAGCTGTAGATACTACTCTGAATGTCTATAGTTTGAGATATGAATGGTTGTTATGAAGTAAGTAATTTCATCATGACGAAATATACCCATTTATTCATGAATAAGAACAAGGCATTTATCAGTGAAGAAGAAGCATTTGTGCATTCAACCGCTTCATTATCTCCAGCTGTACAGTCATATTTATAGTCGGTAAAATGATAGATAATTACACTTAAGAAGAGTTGCTTAGTCAATATACCGAAATATACACAACAGATGGTGTTGATGATGAGATTTATTCATACAGATGAAATAGACAATGGTTCATTCTACCCATTAAAGTTTCACCATCCACGTAGTATTATTCACTTTGATACAATAGGTATACCTCATTGCCTCTTGTACAGAATGTGTACAAAATTGTTGAGTGGATTTCTGTTTAATTCGACTTAGTTTGATTGTGTATTCGAACGCTATCTTGGCTTCTACAATCTCGGCAATTCGATAGTATGATAAACCCTTACAATGCTATTATGGCTTATAGTCGGTAAATATCAAAATGCATCAGGTTGATTTACAGTTGGTCTCATGTGTTTGAAGCCTCCTTCACTTGTGGAGGTTTGGTTAGCCAGATAGAATCGTACGTAGCTTTCAAATATGGATTGTCCATTATTGATTAGTGGATAAACCTGAGTTACTCAGTCAATATACCGAAATATACACAACAGATGGTGTTGATGATGAGATTTATTCATATAGATGAAATAGAAAATGGTTCATTGAATAAGGAAGGCTGAATTCATAACAATTGATGTGTTAAAAGACAGGTGTTGTCGAAGAACAACACTTATCTCTTATCTCATCACTTTGTTATCAATTCGTTCCTTCTTATTTAAACTGTGACCTATTTTCTTTCACATGAATAAATTCTATCATCAACACAACCTATTGTGTATATTTCGATATATTGACTGACTAAGCAACTCATTTTAATGGAATTATTTATCATTTTATCGATTATCAATACAACCGTACAGTTTGAGATAATGAAATGGTTGAATACAGAAATGCTTCTTCTTCTTCTTCTTCTTCAACATAACAATCATCTAAATTTTGAGGGGTTGTGGAGATTTGGAATTATTTCAAGTTGTTATTCATCGAAGACTGACTGACATCAGTTGGAGGAACAAAGGAAACCTGGGAGCACTGGACAGCTGTTTCATTCGACTAGTATGGGACTCCTCAGCAGTGCGCACCCACGACCCCACACCAGCAGGGGTCGAACCCGCGACCTTCAGGTTCCGCGACCAGCGCATTACCATTGCGCCACTGGGTCAGAATCCAATGCTCCATATTTCCAACTTCTGTTAGCTCCACAACCCCTCAAAATTTAATTGAACTAGTGCTCGTTGGTGACTAGCTTCGAGAAGTATTCCCGAAGTTCCAATGACAAGTCGTGACCGGTGGAGTCAAAGCTTGATGGCCATGAGGACAAATACTCAACGATGACATTGGGTGGCGGTTTGCGCTATATCGTGAGCTAACAGAAGTTGGAAATATGGAGCATTGAATTCTGACCCAGTGGCTCAATGGTAACGCGCTGGTCACGGAACCTGAAGGTCGCGGGTTCGATCCCTGTTGGTGTGGGGTCGTGGGTGCGCACTGCTGAGGAGTCCCATACAAGTGGGACGAAACAGCTGTCCAGTGCTCCCAGGTTTCCTTTGTTCCTCCAACTGATGTCAGTCAGTCTTCGATGAATAACAACTTGAAATAACAATCATCATCTTCAACTGGAAGTCTAAATGAAACTGTTTACTACAATGTCTATCTGTTAAGACTGTAAATCTAACAAACTGCTATTACTGATTGAATCTTTCAAGTCTTGAATTAGACGTGTTCATTGTGTTTATAGTACCATTTATTGTGTTGTGTGAAGAATTAAAGTTTTCAATTCATTTTATACTCAAACTATGAATATTTCAAATAATTACACTATATAAAAAAACTTAGCTTGTTTTAGAGCATAGAAAAGAGATCAACTTTAAAATCACTAATGTATGTTTCAGATGAATGAGGATTCCTTTTTTAACTTAGAAGTAGTATTCATCATGGGGAACTATTGAAAGTCTGGGAACACTGCACACCTGTTTCGTCCTAGTATGGCACTCCTTAGCAGTACACACCCATTAACCTACTAGAGATCGAACTCAGTACCTTCAGGTTTCACGACGAACGCACTAACCATTCAGCCACACAGTCAGTCGGTTTCTAGTGGTTCACAATTTTCAACTTTTGTCAATTCACGACATAGTGCGACTATCACTCAAGGTCTTCAGTTAGCATCCACTTCACTTCCAACTGGATGACCACACCAACGGTCACAGCTTCTCACTACACCTTCGTGATATCCATCTAGAAGCAAGTCACTAATCAGGACTATACAGTAATATATTTTTGAGATGAATAGGGATTTCTTTTATAATTTTGAAGTAGTATTCATCATGGATTGATACCAGATTTTCAATGGTTCCCCAACTGATATCAGTCCATGATGAATACTACTTCTAAATTAAAAAACATTTTTATGTCTACTGACTACTTTAATATAATGAGTAGTATTGATCACTATGTTCATTCACTTTTCAGCTTGAAAACAATACCTCTGAATAGGTAACCAGGTATCCTTCTCTCTCATATCATAATCTTTCTTGACTTGTCCTTCAACTAGACGACTTGAGTTTATACAACATCCTAATAAATGAATGATTGAATACATGTATATAGAGAGAATCAGATTTTCCAAATCATTATTCCTCGATATTTTTGATAACACCATATAAGGAAATAACACCGGAAACAAATGAATATGAAAAGACAGAGTGATAATGATGATATAAGAGTACTAAGATTAATCTGATAAAAAATGGTGGGGGGTGGTGGTGGTTGAGAAACGAAAAAAAGAGGATGAATCGCACCAAGACTAAAATAAATTAAGGCCAAGATAGAGACAAAGACTACATTGTACATACTTCTTTGGCACACAAAGGTTGGACTGGCTTCATTTCATGGATAGCCAAGTTCTCTGCCGTTTTTAGAAGCTGAACACTAAGGAAACATGAGGTATTTGGGCGAATTCTATAGACAATCAGGAAATCCTTGTTTGGGAATCGATTAAATGTTTAAGGATAGAACTTTTGATACATTTTCTTTCACCCTTATAAAACCAAGCAAGAATATATTCTTGTATGTGTTGACTAGCATCTTTAACTATAGCTGATGTACCTTGCTCCATAGGAGCAGGTGAACTAGCAGATACACATGGATATGACCTATCAAAGGATATTGTCTTTTATATAAACGGAGAATAATTTATGACGAGTAAAGATCAAGTGAAGTTAAGCTGAGAAAAAAAATGTTCTACTAATTGATCTAGAAAGATGATTTTTTTTTTAAAGGAGATCTGATGCTATATCACCTTTGAAATCCACCATCTTTAGTCTATACTAAATAAAATTAAGGGGAATAATAAAAAAAAAATTGATTTATTCCCTATTTTAATTATTTACACAGATAAAATGATAAAAAATTTAGCCAGAGATTTTAACCTAACTAATCCCTTTTTTTTCTCTCTCTCTTTCAAATGACCTGAAACTCAATTTTGATGATATAAATTAAACAATTTTTATCATAGAGTAACTAACACTGAAGGTTGTTATTTGCCCTGCTAAAAGAAAACAGGAAAAAAAAAGACTGAAAATTTTTAATTACTTCAACATGTTATCCCTTGTTAAGAGTCAAATGATGTCAGTCTTCGATGAATAACAACTTGAAATATCAACCTCATTCAAGGTTGCGTAGGAAACTAGAAACTAGGAGTCCCATACTAGGACGAAACAGCTGTCCAGTGCTACCAGGTTTCCTTTCTTCCTCCAACTGATGTCAGTCAGTCTACGATGAATAACAACTTGAAATAATTCCAAATCTCCACACCTCCCTCAAAATTTAATTGAACTAGTGCTCATTGGTGACTAGCTTCAAGAAGTATTCCCGAAGTTCCAATGACAAGTCGTGACCGGTGGAGTCAAAGCCTGATGGCCATGAGGACAAATACTCAACGATGACATTGGGTGGCGGTTGCGCTATATATCGTGAGCTAACAGAAGTTGGAAATATGGAGCATTCGTTTCTGACCCAGTGGCCGCGGAACCTGAAGGTCGTGGGTTCGATCCCTGCTGGTGTGGGGTCGTGGGTGCGCACTGCTGATGAGTCCCATACTAGGACGAAACAGCTGTCCAGTGCTCCCAGGTTTCCTTTGTTCCTCCAACTGATGTCAGTCTACGATGAATAACAACTTGAAATATTTCCAAATCTCCACAACTCCCTCAAAAGTCATATTTATAGGTTAACATTGATAAAATAAACATTTCAAAAAGAAATTCTGTTAATCACTACAGTCTACTTACTATGTTATTAGTAGTACCGATGATTCATGTAAATTTTCGACCAAAGATATATGAAATATAATTTTTCTATGTGAATCGTTTAAAATTTTCAGATGGCAAGACCTTTACAAGTGAAAACTGCTGATATGGAACGTCGTACAGGTCCGTAGAATATAGTAACACTGTTTTGATTGTTTATTCATGTTGTCTTATCACTAGTAAATCTGTTGTAATATATGCCATGATCGTTTCCTAGCTTTACTGTGAAAGTTGTTGTGCTTATATCTTGTTCTTCAACCAAATCTATTTTGAATAAAAAAATGTTGTGTGTTGTGAGTGTTGTTGTGCAGTTTTTCTTTTTTTTTATCTCAGATATGCTTTTTTACTTGAAGAATTTTCGGTACTCCTAAATTAAACTGGAAAACTTGTAGTTTATAGATACTAGTTATATTTCGTTGCTATACTAAGCCGAATGACTTCATATTCATTGGCAGATAGGCTGTATACGGATGCCTCCATGAAGCCTGGATATTAATTATGTTGTAGTTTACCTGATAGTTTGTGCGTTTCCTCGGGTGATCACAGGGAAGTGAATGAACAGTTGTACAGCACTTTGGGTATTACTGGCGAATTCAGGAACCGAAATATTCTCTCCAGGAAGCTTTAGAACACTTAGAGAAATCAATTACCTACTACTAACTGAAACTGTAATTTTCACAACTAGTCAAGTATACAGTCCAAAAAATCCTCACAAACTGGTGTGTTGACTGATAAAGTAGAAGTTTTCCAGGATATTCTGATTTTTTCAAGTTGTTATTCATCGTAGACTGACTGACATCAGTTGGAGGATCAAAGGAAACTTGGGAGCACTAGACCGCGGCTGTTTCGTTTTACTAGTGTGGGACTCCTCAGCAGTGCACACCCACAACCCTGCCCTCCCTGGATAGAACCCGCTACCCGTGACCAGTGGGGGCAAAGCCTGATGGTCGTGAGGACAGTCACTCAATGATGACATTGAGTGGTGGTTGCGCTATATCGTAAGCTAACAGGAGTGTGGAATACGCACCATTGGATTCCGTTGACCCAGTGGCAGGCTCACTGGTAACGTGCTGGCCACGGAACCTGAAGGTCGAGGGTCCAGTCCCTGGAGGGTGGGTTCGTGAGTGTGCACTGTTGAGGAGTCCCACACTAGGACAAAACGGCGGCTGTCCAGTGCTCCCAGGTTTATTTTGTTCCTCCAACTGATGTCAGTCTACGATGAATAACAACTTCAAATATTTCCAAATACCCACAACTCCGTAAAACTTCAATATTCTTATTTCCGATTTCCAAAACAATCACATGAGGATTACTTACCGTAAGATGTTCCAGTTCTATGTCTAGTGACTTTTGAGCGGATGTTATTCCAAACTGATTTTCGAGGACGAATCCAACATCATCACTGAATGTTGTAATTCGTTCAACTCACAAAAAACAACAACACAGTCATTGAAAACATGATGATATCACTGAAATACATCGTAATAGGAATTCACAGTTATATCTTAGACGACCTAATGCTTTACAAACACATTATCTCAATAATTCATTACATTTCAGAATGATGGTTTATGGAAGCTGTTTCAAATATAAATTAAAACCGAATACTTTGACACAGATTGTCTTCTTCTGAATAAGAGTGAGATGTATCTAATGTAACCCAAAGTTCAATTGAAACTTGTATGTATCGATCTTGACCATTTGACTAAATTGAGTGGTTAAGGGGAAAAAATGCCCCTGAAACCACTAATTTATTATTTGAGAAACATACTACTTAAATTTAATTTAGGTAGTAAGAGATTTTCGATAAAATATTTTAGGCGAAAGAGATTTATTGAAAATAATCATAAGCAGTGATAGATGTTTTGACGAAGTGACTTAATATTTGAAGTAAGCGGCAAATTTACTTTGTCAGACTCTTTGCTTTAGCTTTATACTTGTCTAATGAACAGAAGAAATCATGAAGTCAACATTATGAATGAATCAGTGGATAGGTTTTGATACCCCCTTTTCATCATGTGCTGAAGTCTATTAAGAAAGTATAAAAAACAACTACTTGTGGCTACTTCTCAGCTATCTGGAACTATGTAACTATGGTTCCCTTCAGAAAATAATCTAGAACCTTCATTTTTCATGGCGATCAGTTTTGTACTCAGAAAATAAGTGGAAATCTGGTGCTTTATGTTTTTTAACCTTTGTCAAGTAATGATATACCGTAGCATTAAGTATTGTATTAGCTGAAATGGGTGGTTTTTAGCTCTTAACAGCCATTTCTCTTGTCTATGAACGTGGTGATTGGAAGTTTACTTGAATTAGTGCATATTAGAGAACTAAATTGGTAAGACCACATAAATTCTGGCTACTTATTTCAGTGGACTGTTATGCTTAGGATCAAATCATATGTTCATGATGAAAAGTTTCTCCGTGGTCCCCTATTGAAACCAAGATATTCAGGTCACAACATATGATCTGTTGGACACTATGAATGTCGTCAAGATTGAGGGTAGAAAAGCAAACATCTCATTCGACTTTACGAAACACCATAGCCATTAGTAAAGATGGACAAGGGAATCCAGGATGCGCATTTCGTCCTACTTGGGACTCACTGGTCAGCTGGATGTACCTGCCTCTGAGTGATGTTGTTCCCACGGGGATTTGGACTCGGGAGCGATCGCTTCAAACGCCAGAGCGTAATCCACTACACTACAGAGCCACATTAGCCACTTCTTGTGCGATGGGTATAGGTTTAATGTTGTTGCAATATCGAGGCATCCACACAAGAGCCCAAATGTCAACAGAGACTCATCAGTTCGGTCCAATCAACGACGGTGTTATACAAGCACTAATACCATAAAGATTACTTACTGTAATTCATAACTATTCGTTTCCACATATAACTTATCTAATCCTACAGATATTAGCATACATTTTGGCTTTCAGTGATCTTCTAGTTGAATATATTGGATCACCTAGTAACCTTCAAATTGAAGTATTGTTATCAGACTATTATAGTATAAATAGTTGAACTTTCTGATAAGATGCAACTTCAGAATTGCCTTTAATGAGTGAATAACTAATCTGTATTAACTGAAAAATTTCTCCACTTGTAATCTTACTGGTTTTAGGAAGACTGACTAGGTAGTAAATGGCAAGAATACAGTCAGTCAGTTCTATTGTGTAGATTATATACACTAAAATTTAAATTTGGCGGTGTAGTATCTTCGGTGACTTGATATGAGCCTGACATAATTAAGACACTTCTCGTGAATGGTTTACATTCCTAAATATCATGGCATTATGGTGTATGGGGAGAACCGAAGCCCACAAAAGTCAGCAATCCTAGAAACTGATACTGGGAGATGATTAATGATGGAACGAAAATTTTGTATCACGGCCGGATTCGAAGCAGTGACCACAGGGTTTCTGGTCGAATGCTCTCTCTACGAGGTCCAACTGCTGACCACGTTTTTCTCTCCCTTTAATCGCCATCTTAGGTTTGTCTGATGACTACCATGTGCTTTCATGACGCTCTACTACCTCTTGATCGTGCTCACACTGGCTGGCCAGTAAGAACTTATCATCCAAATCCAAAAGGGGAGCATCATATTGAATATCCTTTTGACCACCATCTGAGTGCGATAGCAGGCTGACTAATAAAAATCTATTCTGCAGTTGGACCTCGTAGCTCACTCGGTAGAGCGTCGGGCTAGAAAGCCAGTGGTCGCTGATTCGAATCCGGTCGCAGTTCGAATTTCCACTTCACCTTCAGTCATCCATTACCTAGTATCAATACTATGTGAAAATAAAGTGACTAGACAGCAAACAAACTTGTGTTGTCTAGTCCTGATTACTGACTAAATTCTATCAATCATTTTACCAAATAACTCAATGGTAACGTCGTTTACTGGGAAGCTAAGTGATTGCATAAAGTTCCGAAGCTTCACTAACTTTTCTTTGAATTCATGACGTTTTGAGCTTAGAGTTCTGACCAGTGAGGTTAACAAAGCGAGGTGTTAGAATACATACTCCCCGATAGTGTTAGATTAAGGTCGGTCTATATAGTGAACTAACAGAAGTAGGATGCCTGAATTCCGCCTCACTGGCTCATTGAAGATTGAAGGACGTGGTCTTCGATGGGTACTGTTGAGGAGTTCAATACTTGGACGAAACACAGTTGTCCATTCCTCCCAATCTCTTACTGGTATCAATTCATGGTGAATACTACTTTGAAGGTCCCAATTTTGTCAGTCATCAGCATATGTCATTATCATTATTTAGTGTGAATGTTTAAACGGCCTTCATCCTCATTATCAATACCATTGCAGAAATCCATTGATCAATAAATAATCCAAAGTTAATTTGCTGTCGAAAAACTATTATGCAAAAAGAACAGCTTTCCTTCTTTCCTTCTTGTGATTGGTTATCTAAAAGACTATAGGATTACATAGTACTACCTTTGAAATGAAGCATTCAACTTTCATTCGTATAATCTAGTTTATCTTCTTCCTTGAAATCATCTTTATTAACAGGATATTGATGTCCAACCTTGAGAAAGAAGGTAATTTTCTTGGTTTTCTAATGATAAATATCTATGATTACTGATGAAGATAGTTGGTGGCGAAACTTACTCTCAATTATATCTTTCACTTAAGTTTGCAATCATGGATTAATCCTGTTTGTATCATACTAACGGTTAATTTCTCATCTTGAGAATGTCTTACTGGACGGTAATTATTGTAGATGTAAAGTTTTAATTCCTCAACACCGGTGAAAATCTGTCACCCAAGGTTACAATATGCCTACTGAACGTAGTGACGCTATACAACGGTGGAATATATCTGAAGTTGGTTGGAAATTAAGAATTAGTTGTCAGAACGTCTTGAAAAGTCATGCATTAGCAAGGTATATTTTCACCCATGAGGAAACGGGTGTTACTTCAAAGAATCAAACTTGTGTAGAGCTTGACTAGTAGAGTTCAATAAGTACTGAGCACTTACGACTCAAGAACTGCATAGATTATCTGGCAGTAACCGATTCGCCTACAGAACCCATTCCTATAGGAAGTGAGTCGTAGCATAAAAAGCTTAGTCGCAAAACGTCTCACTTCGACACTAAATGATCCGACTTCGAAATATCGGTAGAACATCAGTTTCCTCATAGTTGCTAATGTACCCTAGTGATAATGGGCTGTGACCTGCAACCTCAAGCCACGCCTTCCTGCTAACTAACTCTATAATGATCCACCCTATTTAGACATATATACCGGTCAGCTTGACCTAATCATGAGAGATAGACAAACAGACAGGAAGTAATTCGTAGACTAATAGTTATTCCATCAACAACTAATGAAGTCAGCTATAAATGTCAGCAATAGGCAGCTGTCTCAGATACTCCACCATTAACTTCACTTGGTTAACTGCTGAGTAGTCCGAATTTTTCAATGGTTCTCTAACTCTTTTCAGTCCGTCATGTTTACTATCTTGGAGTTAGATTATACTCATTCACATTATTTCATTTAGCATTCTGGTATCCTGTTAAGTGATACATACAGCTGTTGATCAGCTTTCCAGTCTTGTTAAACAGCATTCAATCTGAATTTTTTTTCGGGTTCGGGAGACATAGGCTTTCATAATTTGAGTACTGTCAAATAATCAACAATTTCCATCTCACAAACACTTTCTACTTGTTCTGACGCTTCATAGTTTTGGTATTACTATTTACTTAGCTTGTTCCTGATTGTAAAGGATCCGATTAGAGAGAAATTTTGCGGTATCACTAGTCATTAAAATAGTAGGATTGACCCGATATTCTGACCCTACTGCAGTCAGTCTGGATGAACAATCGATATTAGCTGGTTGAAGGCAATTGGCAAGAAGCCCTGCCTCACTTAGGTTACGTCCTTTTTGGCACTCATCAGCAAGGCGTATCTGCAACCTCGACGGGACTGATATCCCTCCCACCTGAGACTCGAACCCGTATCACCCAGTGTTGTAGTCAGTGACTTTACCACTGAGCTATACAGGCCGTGTCCGACCTCCTGTAGGAGTGCAACCAATTTTATGTTGTCTGGTCCTGAGCGCTCATATTTGAAATGTAGCAACCAACCTAGGAAGCTCAGCATCATAGTGTACATTAATAGATGTTGTTTGGAGGCAATCACCGGCAAGAAGCCCTGAACCTGATGTGATTTAGTCTCTGGCTACTTATTTGCATGTTTCAGTAGTATCTATTTTAAATAGAAGTTTACTACCCATTTTCTTTTCTATATACATGACGTTAATTTTTTTTGTTGTTTACGTTCATTCATTACTTATTTCATGAGTAGTATGTCATATGTAAGAGTCCAGCAGAGTTGAACTATTGTTAGCCTATCAGTTATGTATATATATATACTGTCAATGGTGAAACACTTCTAACTAATCAATTGTTATCTGTCGAAAATCAATTTCCAAATATATTAAGGAAACTGGGATGAACAGAATAAACTCAGACAAATAAATGAAACCTATGAAAACAGTTTCATTTAAGTCGATAATAGGCGTGTCATTAATATACAGGCATAATAAACTCTGAAAATCTCATTGTATCATTATCCCCCGGCTTTTCTACTCAATACAATAAGCATACACACATTTATGGATAGATAGATAGATAGATAGATACACATACATACAGACATGTATGACCTTGAAGATTCTACCTACTCTAAGTATATGATTGGATAGAATTCTACGAAGTGGGATAATAATACTCTGCTTACAAGTTAGTTTTGTATATTCTCTATGAAAAGAGGAAATAAAAAAGAATTATTGTTTCTCCCGCTCTATCAAATCCTACTTCTACTTAGGTTAGGCGTTAATGTTGAGTCTGTTCTACAATCAGTTTATACATTTATTTTCTATAAGCAGTAGATGAATAAAAGAGGTGAATAAATTAATTCAGACTATCCAGGTCTGATAGTATGCTCCCTTCCAGTCTTTACGTCTCTGAGATGCTATCAGTTGAGTTGTTTAGTGATTGGTTGTAGATTGACGACAAGAAACATGTATGTGTATACGTTTATATTCCTCTTATTGGGAGAAGATATACACACTCACAAAAGGTAGATAGATAGGGAGAGTAAACGTATCAAGCAATAAATTGAAGGAAAAATCGATTCTTCTGTCTCTCTATCATATGTGTTATCCCATTGAACGATACTATTATATATAGATATATACCCTTTCTACTAGAAAATATCCTGCTATACAGACTCTAGTGAGTATACTAAAATCTCATTGTACCATAAGCAAACAACGGGGAAATACAATCGATAATTATAAGTTCTATCTATCTATCTATGCATACATATGTATATATATATATATATATATATATAAATGAACCGGGAGGAATTTAACTCAGGAATATAGTGAATAAACAACGATACACATGTGTAAAACATTGGTTACTAAGTAACTAATCAACTAACTCCATTATGACACTAGAATTATGTACAATTTCATCACAACAACACCATACTTCCACTATTACTACAGCTACTTCAGCTGCTACTACGCTTACTGATGCCACTGCTACGGTTATAACTGACTTTGATTCTAATTTCACTACAACAACTAGTATGGATGATATACTTTATGCTACAGTTGATGAAAATGATGAAAGTATAATTGAGTTAAATAGTCGACAAGAAAAAATATAAGTAATCATATTTCATCAAGTAAATTATTACAAAATCTTAATACATTATGTTCAACACCTATTGAACATTTAACAATGAATCAATCATTGATTGTTTCAACGAATAGTACAAATTCTGGCCTACAGCAAGTATCATCATCATCATCATTGTGTTTAAAGGGGAAAATTAATACCATGGATAATGAGAATATGAATAAAAAAACAATGAATATCTCTAGTAGTTTAAGTAATTTTATTTCATCTTATGATGAATTATTACTCAATTCAGATCATGTAAAATTTGAAGGGATTGAAGATGATTCAATCCAGTCATTGTCAACATCTTCCCCATCATCACAACCAACAACAACAACAACAACAACAACGAGTGAAATGTTGGAAAAATCAAATTTCAATCATACTGAATCATTTCAACACGAATATTATTCACTAAGTCATCATCAACCTATGGAGATGAGTAATTTAAACTCACAACGTTCTTCAAAACGTGGGAGTAAAACAAGCTTGAATAGTATGGATTTGGGGAGTACTAGTAACTGTACTACTAACGTCTATGATACTAGTAGTATTAGTAGTAATAACAAAACTATAACATTGAATATGAATAATAAAACACGAAATTCAAACAGTACCAACAGTAATAATAATGATAATAATGGTATGTTGAATGATGCGTTATGTTGATTCATGTTCTTTTATCTAAGGTGAGACTTGATTCTCAATCGATAGTTCATGGGTTCGAACCCCGTTCCAATTATAAAAGTTCCTCTACCCGAATAGTATTACTAGACCTTACACAAGAGATGTGACTCATTGCCTACTGAATGAACTCTCGGTTTACTGGTTGATTATTCTGTCTGTCAGTTGAGATATGAGGTAGGGTAAACAAAACATGTCACTAATACAATAATCATGACGTCCTCAGGACTTGAGAATCCGGTGAATTATAAAACACATCCTGACAACATTCACTGGTACCTGAAGCCATCGGTCATGCGATCGAATCTTAGTGGGAAAAAATATCACTTACCGGGGTGTAGATATATCCAGCTGATGAGTCCTAAATGGGAGATGGTTGAGAGTGACCAGTCGAGGAAGTCTCTTATTGATAGCTTGAGCGTGAGTGATAGGGTGGGGTGGGAGTGAGGAGGGGGGTAAGAGGCCGACTGGTGTCTAACTGGAGTCTGTGAGGCGATAGGAATCAGTGGTTGACGACTGTTGAAGAGATGGTTGGAAATCGTTTGGTGACAATGCCACAGATATGTTCACTCCTCGACATCTTCTAACCTCAATCTTCAAACTGCTTATTCTCTGTTCTTTGTATGTTACTCCTGTGAAGTGTTTCAACTTGAACCGATCCACTAATGTAGGAGGTTCTACGGTGATTCTGACGATTAGATAGTTACTTTTGGGTTACTTTGAAATGCTCATTTTTTTCCTGTAGTTAAGTATACATACATACCCAAACAACGCCACCAATAACAACAAGCTCCAATCATCATCAACGGGAGAAACTTAAAGGAAGTAGCCTCTTTCACCTTCTTACCTAAGTAGCATCGTTTCAACTACGGGCGGCGCAGACTAGGAAGTCAAAGCTGGCCAGGATTGGAAAAGCAAGACAGGAATTCCGTCATTAGTCTGAAATCAGTGTGGAGATCTACTGCACTCCACTCGGCATGTGGAACAACAACCGGATATTCAACACCAATTCAATCAAGTCAGTGCTGCCAGGTGATGGTTGAGAGACTTGACGGTGCATCACCAAAAGCATTTTCAACAAACTACAGACATTCATCAACAACTGTCTATGCTGTCTGGATACTGAAGATCGGATAGATGGCCAGAATAATAAGCTGGCTGGCTGGCTGGCTGGCTGGCTGGCTGGCTGGCTGGCTGGCTGGCTGGCTGGCTGGCTGGCTGGCTGGCTGGCTGGCTGGCTGGCTGGCTGGCTGGCTGGCTGGCTGGCTGGCTGGCTGGCTGGCTGGCTGGCTGGCTGGCTGGCTGGCTGGCTGGCAACAAACCAACCGAACAAGAACCTATCGCCCAACAAATACGCGTAAGCAGAAAATGGAGATGGATTGGATTAGGCATACACTGAGGAGACTATTCGGGAACATGACACACTAGGTCAGGCACTCGAGTGGAACCCAGATGGGAAACGACGAGTTTGGCATCCGAGATGAGGGTGAGATGAATGAGATGGTGTGAAGAAGAAATGAGAGAGAGGTTGTGGGTAGTTGTGGAGACAGGTTGATAAGATTGCAGGGAAGAGAGTGTAATGGAGATGTGTTACTGAAGTGGTATGTTCCACTGGGAACCCAACGGAAAATAATAATATATAATAAGTATGCATACAATAGTGAGGGTACTTCTTTTAGCTATATTGATCAGAAGAGATGAATTTTATCTAGCAGATGTCTACCATTAAGATCACAGCTTTCATTTTACACTTGGTTTCTTTAAGGAAATGCGCAAGATAATGATGAATCTTAGAAAGGATTAAGGACAAGACGTCTCCTCTTTGCCTTTAATTCATCTCCGTCTACTTGGCGATGAAAAAACTATTATTTACGGTTGATATATTGATAATACTTTTCAGATACTCCCATACTAGTCATTTATGCATTAAATCGAAGCAGTTTTCCGGTGAAGTTTTGTTATCGATTAAGTCGTTTACCTTCCAACCGACCTTCTTAGGAGACAGTTCGAATCCTGCCACAATCTAGCCTTACATCCAAACCATATGTTAGGTAAATAAGTTTACAGGAAGTTAGATCTGAGAGTCAAATAAACCTTTTACTTATATTATTCATTGATCCATATGATTTCTGTTTGCTATACGCGGTCAAACTGCTTGACTTCTGTTGGGACACACAGTGGCCTAGATATTAAACGGATATTCATTATGCTGTAGTCTACCTGGAGATTAATAGTTAGATCCAAAATGCACATTTCCTCGTATTTATGACTCAAGCCTCAGCTGGATGCGATTTTGTTCTCACTGACATTTGAATCTGGTACGCATAGCTTCCAACGCCAAAGTGTTATCCACCCGGCTAGTATCTTTGATACCGGGTTGTCAAGCCATGGCCAACTCAAATAGCTTTAGTAACAATTTAAATAACCATTATTATTTTTCCGTTGGGTTCCCAGTGGAACATACCACTTCAGTAACACATCTCCATTACACTCTCTTCTCTGCAATCTTATCAACCTGTCTCCACAACTACCCACAACCTCTCTCTCATTTCTTCTTCACACCATCTCATTCATCTCACCCTCATCTCGGATGCCCAACTCGTCGTTTCCCATCTGGGTTCCACTCGAGTGCCTGACCTAGTGTGTCATGTTCCCGAATAGTCTCCTCAGTGTATGCCTAATCCAATCCATCTCCATTTTCTGCTTACGCGTATTCGTTGGGCGATAGGTTCTTGTTCGGTTGGTTTGTTGCCAGCCAGCCAGCTTATTATTCTGGCCATCTATCCGATCTTCAGTATCCAGACAGCATAGACAGTTGTTGATGAATGTCTGTAGTTTGATGGAAATGCTTTTCGTAATGCACCGTCAAGTCTCTCAACCATCACCTGGCAGCATTGACTTGACTGAATTGGTGCTGAAAATCCGGATGTTGTTCACGCTTTATGCTGAGTGCAGTAGATCTCCACACTGATTTCCGGTTAATGACGGAAGTCCAGTCTTTCTTTTCCGATCCTGGTTTTGACGTTCTCGTCCGTGCCTGTGCTGCCTGCATTTGAAACGATGCTGTCTCGTGTTCATGGTGATTGGTGCCTCTTGCTGTTGATGCTATTGTTGTTTGGGTATCTTTACCACGTCTGTCTTCTCTATATTCACTTCAAGTTCCGTTTTCGCTGCCCCTTTACTGTCTCTTCTGCCAACTTTTTATTTTTCGCCTGTAGATCTTTGAGTTTGTGCTACGGACATAAATCATTACCGTTGACGAAATCCAAATCTTCCAGGGTCCTTTCATCGGTCCAGCGTGTGCCCATCTTCTCGTATCTCACTGTTTGTTTCATGCATGATCCAGTCCACCATAATCAGGAAGATCATGAGTGATAGTAGACAGCCTTATCTTATTCCTGTATTCACTTCAAAGGACTCACTCAGCTTCCCATTGTGAATTACTTGGCATGTAGCCTTTCCATATAGTTACTCAATGAGATTGATAAAGGTTTGTGTTATTCCGTAGTGTTGAAGCAGCAGTTGTCACATTACTTATCGGTCGACGCTGTGGAAGACCTTTTCAGAGTTGTTGAATTTGAGGTAGAGAGTTGACTGCCATTCCATACTCTGTTCATTGATGATGCGTAGGGTTGCAATCCGATCCGCCTATGATTTGTACTTCCTGAATCCAGCCAGCCTGTTCCGGTCGTAATTTTGAATCCGGCGCATCCTTTAGTCTCTCCAGGATGATGCGGCATAATATTTTGCTTGGGTGGACAGCAGCATGATTCTTCGCCAGTTCTTGCAAAGGCTTAGGTCTCCGTTGTTTGGGAGTTTGACAAGGTACCTCTTTTTCCAATCTGTAGGTACCTTTCCTTCCTTCCAAACCTTCTTCAGTAATGGTTTGAGCATGTCCGCAATTTAAATAATTCACGTTAATTTTAATAGGATGATACCGCAATAAGAAACAAGAAGTCTATGTTAACTGTCCCAACCCCCACCTCCGCCACTTTCACTGTCGTGAAATACTTGTTAGAAGAACTAAAAAGTAGGATGCAAAATGTGAGTAGCTGAAAACTATCATGCCTGCTGACCTGTAGATTTCATCAACTAGCTAGGTCAAATTAATCCGAACATTCTACAGCTGTTGTCATCAGACCGAGTTTCTTCATCAGCTGTGTACACGGACAAAGCTAAATTATTCCAAAGAGTTTCAGGGTGGTCTGAACTAGTTTGACTGTATGTGGCACAGAAATCAGTGAAACAGCCATCTGGAGTTGAGATCACACTTGTCTACTTGGTGAAGTCAAATCTACAGATTAGTCTGACTGATTCCTAACTACACCCCCCCCTTCCGGCCTCCAAGTCGTTCAGTAAGTATATTTTAATAGTTCATGACACTTTTGTCTCAGAGATAACACCTTGTGATCTTGGCTGACGGGAATACTACTGTCTGGCACCACACAATGAACTGTGTAGTTTGTAAATCGTTTGAGTAAATTGATCATTCACTCTGTGAAACCCTTTCGTGTATATGATGTCCAAATAGTTTGTGTATGTGTGTAAGAGATTCAGAGCAAACGAAAAACTAAATGAATTCGCTTCATTTCTTTGAACTGAATGGAATCCAGACATTGACTGACTTTTACTTTAGTGATAAACGTGTGACTATCAATACACAGTAGTATGGAATAAATTATTATTATTATTCACATTTATTCCTGAAGTAGACTTTGTTCAGTTAGTTACAAACGGAAGTGTAGAATTACACTTACAATTGATCAAGATACCTTGAAGTTAGTTATCAGTACCTCTTCTTGACTAATCTTTTGTTAAGGTTATTGAGACTTGAAGAACTGAAGTTCGACACCTGACGGATTTATGCGCCGTACCAGGTTCGTGATGAGTATTCTGGTGGAATTAATCAATTCCCATAAACCTCCAAGTTGAAATTCAATCTGATGGGTCAACTTTAGT